GTCTGAATAACTATAAAACATAAGTTAAATGGAAGAACTGTTGAAATTTGAAGGGAGGGTAGATTTTATTACATTCTAAAAATCCTGATGGTAGACTTGAATTTGTAAGTATTTTTTTTCCTCTGGGTTTTGTTTTCAGATAGATTAGTTTTCCCAGTATAGTTTTTTTATACATTGTTTCTGTTTTATTTTATTTAAAGAGTTCATAAAAGCTAGGTTTATTATTTTTTTAACATGTTTTATTCAGCTTGTTAATCTTAAATATATGTTGAAATGTTAACTCTTGACGTTTTAATACTTTGCCAGCAACTATAAATATACATTATAACCATTACCTACAATGAGTTTACTATTTGGTATTTACTTATTGAACAGTATATTTTATATTGCATTTTAGACATTTAGATGGAAATTGAATTCAAATAACTAGTCTTTTGTGTTAAATTTCCTTCTATTAGAAAAAAATATACAAAGTCCCTTTTCATAGTAAGTTGGGATGCTAAAGGTGATTGTATTATCAAAGATGACTGGTGAGAAGTTGCATTACCTCACAAGATTATAATTGGGTAAGGGACTTAGATTAAATCTTCAAATAATAAGATTTCAATGAGTACATTTATTTTCACTGTAAATTATAAGTATTGAACATGAGGGTCAATGTCTGCAGGATGCATTTATGTTTGTTTGTAATGACATCTCAGATGTGGGAAAATGTTTTCTTTCTTACTTTTGGTTTTGTTCTTGTTATAGGCTGGTTTCATTCAGGGAGCTCTGAAACCACACTAAGTGATTAAGTTACCCTGGTCAATAAAAATGAAATGTTGGAGGGGGAGATTTAATCTGTAAAATTTTCTCAATATGGATGGTTTTAAAATAATTTTTTAAGTTATTTTTGCTTGCTAATCTGTTTCATTCACCTTTTATCTTATGATCTTTAAATCTCTATCATATTAAAAGATCACATTTAATGATCCTAGCCTCAACATCTCTTTATGAAATGTTTTCATTTTGCTCCATTTATGAATTGTGAAGCTTTTTTCAATTATTGGTGCAGCTTAGATTACCTAGAACTTCATTGTCCAATGTGATAGTCCTTAGCACATGTGACTATTTAAACTTAAATTTAAACTAGCTAAAATTAAATAAAATTAAACATTTAGTTCCTTAGTCACACTGGTCATATTTAATATATTCCTTAGGTACATTTGGCAAAAATACAGTTCAAGCTCTTGGATTTCTCCAAAAAGTAAAAACTTTGGTCCTACAGCGTTGGTATCTATAGCATATGGATTTCTTTTAAATCATGACCGTATTTTCACTTTCTGTTCTTACCCATTTTACCTAATCCTGAATTGTCTGCCTTGCAGCTATTGATACTTTTCTAAGACTATGATTCTCATACATTTGATTTATAGGTAGAAGAGCTTTTAAAAATTAGACATATACTTTGAGATTGTGTTAAAGGGTCAGGGGCTGACTTTAGGAATCTTTATTTTTAAGGAGCCAGATTTAGGAATCATTGGCCTGGGGCACACTAACCATTCACTCCTGCTTTTTCTAAACTTTACTTTTATATCCAGTCAGATCACCAAAGAGCCACGTTCCCTGATGATATAAATTTGTCCCCTTGCAGAAATATTCTTACCGAACCACAACCAATGTTTATTCGTTTATTCAGTAAAATACTTACTAAGCGCCTGCTATGTGCCAGGCACCGTTCTAAGTGTAGGGACGGTACACCAGTGAATAAAACAGACAAAAATTGCTGTTTGCATGAACCTTATAGACTACTGAACGTTAAGTCTTTCTGTCCCAGACTTACATAAAAGAGTCAAGAACAGAAAATGCTGTATGTAAAATGTCTGGTTTTGAATTTTATGTTTAATAAAGATCTCCTTGATAAATTCCACCCAGGAATTCAGTGCTAGTAGAAGCTTCTAGTAGGATTTGGCATGATTCCTTCTGTTAGAGAATGTTGTCTTGCTACAGGGAAGCAGTTAGAAGACCAGCCGCACCCCTAATTTCTGCTGCCTCCCCATATTATGGTCTGTGTCTCTCTCTCTTTCGTTCCTGATCTCTCATTCTTCCAGCAACCCCATCTCTCCCTCCCTCACATTTTCCCCTCATTTTAGAGATGTAGTTTTATTGTGAACAGTGTGTTTGGTTATAAGCAACCTAGAATTCATTTTGTAAGTAAATTGGAAAAAGGGGAGATCTAAAGCGATGAAGGAAGTAAGCATTTGCTAAGATTGGTTCTTTGAACTTGAAGGAAGGCTGCAATTGTATTCTGGGAGATAGGGATTCTTATTCTTAAACGGAAAGTAGGCTTCTGTATTCACAGTAACTGTAAACTTTGAAAGTCCTTGCTCTTTGACTTTTACAAGTTATTATTGAAGCATTTGTATATAATAGATTTAAAAACTTGGTGGAAACCCTGGGGCATCTGGGTGGCTCATTTGGTTAAGTATCTGCCTTCGGCTCAGGTCACGATCCCAGGGTCCTGGGATCAAGCCCCACACCACCTCCCTGCTCAGTGGGGAGTCTTCTTCTCCCTCTCCCTCTGCCGCTCCCCCTGCTTCTGCTCCCTCTCCCTCTTCCTCTCTCTCTCTCTCAAAATCTTAAAACAACAACAGCAACTTGGTGGAAACCCTAAGGATCATCTAGTCCAACTATCTAATCTTACTGGAAATGAGATCCTGGGTTTTAAATAATTTACCCCAAGGCAACTGCTAGAGTGTCACTGGTAGGATTAAAACTCAGTTTCCCTTTATTTCACTGTGGTCCTCTTTCCACCTGACTTTAAATTAGAAAATGTTTCGTGTGCCTTTAAATATGATAAATTTAAGAGATGTTCGTAAACTTTTTATTACTTTCATCCTATAATATATGGTTTCTAAGAATTCAGCTAAACAGACTTTTATTGAATTGCCACCGTGTACTCACCACTGGGCACGGAAGATGAGGAAGCCAACTCCTCGGCACATGCGCACCATAGAGTGGGGACACTTTGCTGAGCTCCTCATAAGCCTGCAACCACAGTGTGCTGATGGAAGAAAGAACTGTTTCTTACCCTCAAGGATTTCAAACTCTAGAGAACTAACTTAGAGTTGCTAAATTAAAACTTGATAAGAATTCTATTTCAGAGTGTTTGCTTTATAACCCACATACTGTATCCCATAGCAAAACTTGAGAAGAAAAAGAGCAGTCTATAACTGGAACTGTAACAAAACCCAGGAAGTTTCTCATTCTGTTTACTTACAATGAGAGTTTACCAGAAACACTCATCTTGTCTGGGGCATGTCCTGTTGATCAGTGTACGCATTCACAGGTAATGTAGTCCAGTGGTTTTTAAACTTTTTGGGAATCTGATGCACATATGCGACTTTCACACTCAACTTTAAGATGTGTATGCTGCCTCCTCCCCTGCCAAGCCCGTTCATGATCTCTCATCAGACGTATCTGTGTCTGTGGCTGGTGGGGGGGTTATTTTGAAAGAGACTTTCAAGTGGTCCTCATCCATGGTGAACTTCTGCTACTGATGAGACCCTATTATTTCTTTCTGGTATGTTGAAAACCACAGATGTAGTATTTATCATGCACTGTCATTATTTACATCTTACGTACTTCTTAAAAATCTGAACTTCACAAGCCTAGTAATCTTCACTCATACATTGTATCCTGGGTCCAAAATGATATCGGCCTGCCCAGTAATATTATTAGACATTATTAAATAAATAAATAAAATATAAAAATAAAAAAAATTTAAAAGCAGTTCTATTTTAATAAATACTGGAGGATAGTAGAGAGTACATTAAGGTCTGTTGCAAGCAATCTGGATTCCAAAAGTCCTAGCTTCACAGCTATAATTAGGGGCGCATCCTTAAGGAAGCACCTAATCTTGGGCCTGGTTCACTTCATCCGTAAAAGGAGATTGTAGTAAATTCAAATTTATAGTCTCTAAGGACTCAGCTTTACACTTTGTTAAGTGAAATAAAGCAGGCATCTGGAAATGAGATCTGGATTCTACACCAATGTATATTTTTATATTTCCACAAATGTGTGGCTGTGTGATTTACTTTCTATACTTACTTCTCACAAAATGTAAATCGGACACCTTTTAACTCTCACTCCAGCGGGGGCATAGCATTCCAGGTCTCTAGCCTGCAGTTGGGCCACCGCGTCCTATACCTATCTCCATATTCTGTGACGTCTCTGGTGCTCCCCTCGAGGACAAGGGCCCATGTATGTAGTACATGTCCTGCTGAAGGGAGCACGGGGACCGTGCATTTTAGTCTGCATATCTCCAGTGGCTAGCACGGTGCTTGGGCACATAAAAGACAATAAAAATTTGTTAAGTGAGTAAATTATTTTTTAGCTCCTCTGAAAAAGTTTGTATAGGTACGTATGTTTTAATTATGTTTTAATTACACCATCGTAAGTCGGTTTCCAAAACGATATTGTAATTCAGAGATATTTTAACTAGCTCACCAAATTTTTGATCATCTTCCCTAAAAGATCACTAAACATCTATTATATGGCAGGCCCTAGAAATAGAACTCCTCATGGGTCTCGGAGCTTGGCAAGTAAGACAAAAAGATGCATGTTATTAATTCTGGTGGCAGAGTGAGGACTCCTATAATACAAGTATAAGCAAAATGTAAGTAGACATTAGAAGTTTGAATAACACTTGTGCTATGACTCATATCTTGGAATTATGATAAGTATTTTAGTCAGTAAGTATGATTTCTTTAATTCCCAGCTCTTTTTATAACAAGTCTCTTTACCAGTGATGACATAGATGAACCAGTGTTACTTACTCATTGCAAGTATTTTTTTAATGAGCTAGAAAGTAGACTAAGTTGCTTTTTAGCACTGTCTATCTCTAAAGGTCTCCAAATATTTTAAAACATGCGTGGAAGCCTGACACAGATGGATCTTGTTCTAAATTATTGTCTCATATATTCTGCTTTTTCTGATAAGTGAATTTTTGCTTCTTTTAGGAGGATTTTCTATGGGAGGGTGCATGGCAATGCATTTAGCATATCGAAATCATCAAGATGTGGCAGGAGTATTTGCTCTTTCTAGTTTTCTGAATAAAACATCTGCTGTTTACCAGGTAAATTTTTAAAAACAAAAGCAGGCATGAAATATTCACACATTGAAACTAAAAATTGATAATTAAGCAATAACGATTGCTGCACAGAGCACTGCTGGAAATCCATCCCCAATTAGTTAATATTAAATATTCCAGCTGGTCATTAATGTTCAGGAAATGCCATAGAAAGAGTATTGTTAAGCACAGTGTCAAAGGGGAAAGGATAAAAAGAATCTATGTAAGATACATATGTATCCCTTACACATAATAAAAATACGGGTGATTATAGCAAGGTTTGTTTATTATGTCCCGAATGTAATCAAAACAAAGACTCACCTTCCCGATACCTGTTACATAGCAACATGCTAATATATGAATACAGTACCTGAGAGCATTGTAACTTCCTGCCTGAAGTAGAAGCAGCAGATACAGAAATGAAAACTAGACTGTAATTTTTCCCTTGATTGTCCCTGCCTTCCTCCGTCCTTGCACCCTGCGTGAAGAGGTCTGTCTGACCGAGTCTCACAGTCTCTTCAGGAAGCCCTCTGACCATGTTTGAGACGGTCCTCTATGGAGTCACTGCTGGTCGCATAAACTAACTGCAGCTCACGTGATGCTGCAACCAGCTGAGCCCCCAGCTAGGACCACCAGGGTACACCTTAGACTGCACCACGACTGCTGCTTTTCTCCCTTGGAATATTGAAGCTTGGGTAAAATTGCAATTTTTCTGCCCTGTGTGATTTCCCAGAATGACGTTCTTAAATGAATTTCTTAAACATTCCCATTTCTATATCCTGTTCTCTAGGCTCTTCGGGAAAGTGATGGTGTGCTCCCTGAATTATTTCAGTGCCATGGTGCTGCAGACGAGTTAGTTCTTCATTCTTGGGGTGAAGAGACAAACTCAATGTTAAAATCCCTAGGAGTGAGCACGAAGTTTCATAGTTTCCCGGGTGTTTACCATGAGCTAAGCAAAGCTGAGCTAGAAAAACTGAAGTCATGGATTCTTACAAAGCTTCCAGGAGAACTGGAAAGGCAAAGTGAATGAATCAAGGTTGATTTGTTAAGCTACATGTCATGCCTCTGCGAAAAGTGGTTTTTACTGCCAAATTACAATTTGATAAATGATAATTAAAATATTAATAAATATGAAGTGTACTGATTTATTTAGTAGTTATTGAGATGCTTAACACCACAGATGTAGCATCGTCTTATTAATGGTAAATATTTAGACAAACATCTGTGGATTGTTTTTCAGATACATTTGTAAATGGAGATCTTTTGAGTAATTAAATATTTAAATTTAAAAAATAATGTAAAGTGGGTTTAAGTAAGGGCAGTGAGAAGACATGAAGAGGCTTAATATGGCATTTTATTTAAAAGTGTCCTATTTTGTTCCCAAATATTTGGGAATATTTTAGATACATTTGTTACCGATTTCTAATTTAAAGCCATTGTGGTCAGAGAGCATACTCTGTGTTACTATTTTGTCTATGTTCATGAAGGCTATTGGTCTGTAGTTTTTTTTGACCCCATAAAATGAGTTGGGAAGGGTTTTCTCCTCTTCTATTTCCTGGGAGAAATTGTATAAAATTGGTATTAATTTTTTCTTTAAATGTCTGTTGGAATTCTCTAGTGAAACCATGTGGCCCTGGAGATTTCTGTATACTGTACCCTTTTAGCTCATCACATTCTACCTTCAAGTTCATTATACCACCTCACACTTAGTATAAGGACCTTCCGTTTTTCCCTTCCTGGTCTTAATGCTTTTTTTCCCACTTGTAAATATGCTATAAATAGCATGTACCATAAATCTGACAACATATTACAACTATCTTATTTAAAGTCCGTTTTCCTTTAAATCAACTTAAATAATGAGGAAAACATCTTATATATCTACCTGTGTAGTTACCACCTCCTGTGCTCTTCAGTTATTTTTGTGCTGATATGTGTTTCTGGTATCCTTTTCATTCTGCCTGAGGGACATCGTTTAACTAAATAATTCCACTGTAAATGTGCTGTTAATGAATTCTTTCAGCTTATATGTCTGAGGAAGCCTGTGTTTTACATTTGTTTTGAAAAGGTACTTTTCACGGAGTATGAAATTTTGGATTAACATTTTTTTCTTCAGTATTTTAAACATGGTGTTCCACTCTCTTCTTGCTAACTTTATTTCACACAGTATATCTGTTGTTATTATCTTTGTTTTTCTGTATCTAATGTTTCGTTGTGTTTTTGTTTTTGTTTTTTTTTACTCTTGATGTTTTTAAGAGTTTATCACTGATTTTGAGTAATTTGATTGTGATAGATATTGGTCTGGGGGTTCATGTTTCTTATCTTTGTGGTTCCTTCTCATCTTTTTGGGTGGTTCTTTCTCTGGTTTTGGATAGTCTGCTTGCACATGTGTGTCATAAGTACTCTGCTGAATAGTCCAGGTAAACTGTGTCTAGGTGTCTGGAGTTCTCTTTCTGTGCAGCTCGCTCTTCTCTGGTACGCCATCCTACAAATTCTAGCCATCCCAGTCTACTCAGATTCTTAGCTCTGCTTCCCAACACAGGAGTTCTCCAAGCTCTGCATGAAGTGCTCCTCTCAGCTCTGTGGCCTGGGAGTTCTCGAAATGGCAATAAGCTGGGGCAGTCATAAGGCTCACCTTGTTTCCTTCCCCTTCTGTCAGAGACCACTGACCTTTATTGCCTGATGTCCAGTACTTTGAAAAACTTAGTTTCCAGGATTTTGCCTTTTTTGTTGTTTCAGATGAAAGAATAAATTCATTTCCTATATTACCTCAATGGCTGGAAGCTACACTAAATTATCCTTTGAAGTTTAATTTTTTTAATTCTTTTATATCCAGTTTTTCCAGTGCTCTTCATTCCTTAATGTAGTTTCAGATTTCCATATGATATCATTTTCCTTCTGCCTGAAATACTTTAACGTTCATGATAGAGCGGGTCTGCCACTATTAAATTCTTTCAACTTTCGTATGTCTGAAAAAGTCTTATTTTGTCTTCATTTTTTTTTTTTTTTAAGATTTTATTTATTTATCTGAGACAGAGAGAATGAGAGACAGAGAGCATGAGAGGGAGGAGGGTCAGAGGGAGAAGCAGGCTCCCCGCTGAGCAGGG